TAATTGTTGTATGGGCCTGAGTAGGTCCTTTATCAGTTGCTGCCGACTATACTGTATTGTTGAAAGATTATATTGTCAGAATCATTGTATCGTTGAATTATATTCACGCTTCCACTGTAGTCGATAATAAATCCTATACTAAATTCTCAATTGCATATCCACCGACATACATCATTTTCACTATATGCGGGCAGCTGTTGAAGATCACCGGTCAGAAATACTTGGCAAATTTCTGGAAGTCCAGCAAGAATGGTTAATAGTTGCGCTTCTGGTATAAGACCAGCTTCATCAAATATGCAGCGCTGAATGTAATTCTTAAGTACTGGAAGGTATTGTTCTAGCATGGCAACAGTACCTAAAATAATTCGAACCGTATTGGTTTTGAGTGCTAAATATAGCGCTTTAGTTTCATGGCAGCCTTTACCGTCATGAGGGAGGCGATTCCCCGTATAGTCGCGGGCAAAATTCAACTCGTCAGGATGAAAGTGGTCCAGTGGTATTAGTCGAGTCATAAGTTCTGGGAGACGGTGTTGATTCCAAAGATAGTCGTCTGCATTAACCAAGCGTTCATTAGTGAGAGATTGTAAATATAATAGTTCGTTGGGCGACAACTGAGGCATTAATTTAAGCACGGCTTGTGCCATATTACTGACAGCCATATTGGTAGTGGCTGCTAGAAAAACGATCTCATTCGGTGAGTTCTGCATATATTCCTGAATAAAAGCAGCAATGACAAAGGTTTTACCTGTCCCTGCAGGAGCCTGTTGGAATAATATAGGACAATTGCCCTTCAGATGTTGAATTACCACTCGTTGTTCATCAGTTAAATTGGGGTGAGTCAACGGTGACGTTGCAGGTTTGTATGTTAACGGCATTGGAATGCCTAATAGTAAACGAAGAATATTAGCACAAAGTGGATTGGCCGGTGATTGCAGCATATTCGATATATATCGAAAGCGTAAGTGGCTAATACGGCATTCCAAACCTGTTCGAGTGGTGTCTGGCTCAATCACTAANTAGGGCGATTTTTGCCGTCATGTTCATGTCCTGGTCGAGTTGGACATCTTGAATGACAGCCGATACAGGTCTCTGCTCCTGATCTTGCTGCCTGTAAATGGACGGAATAATAGCCATCCGTATGTCAGGTTCCCAGAATTTGACTCTCAGTGACATGACTTTTGGATTATTGACAGCTGGGACGGATGCTTGAAGCATTGATCCTTGAATAGTATAGGAGGCACCTATATAGGCGCTGGTTAACATAGCATGGACGAGTCTATTACGAACAAATACAGATGCAGCTAATAAAACGTCCTCGTAGACACGATAGAAATCAATTATGAAAGCAGGATCAGAATTGGCGTGGCTGATATGAGTAAAAGAGTCAGGTAATAGGGCTGTTTGGTGGGGATCAGCAGGTGTTAAATATACCAGAATAGCTTCGGACAAATCTCTTGTGACGAGATGAGCCGTGGGTTGAATGGGATAGCACGGAGGAAGAACATAATTATTTGCAACCTGAGCCAACTTTGGGGCGTGCACTAAACATGTTGTTACAAAGTCGCCTTCGATGGGAAGAGAAGTAAATGAAGGATCAAGAAGATAAGGAGGGGCATTGTTGAGTTGTTCAGCATATCGTCCAATGTATTGGACTGTGACTTTACTTGATTTGCGTCGGTCACCAGATCGAGTGAAGGCATGCTGAACAAGCGAGAGACTGGATAAGAGTGATGGTTGTGGCTCGATGGGCGCAGCGAATTGTGCAGCTGCATTGGCCCTGATTCTTTCACAAATCATGTTCTGAGATATGACTTGTGGATTAAATGGTTGAAATGGTGTGGGTTGATTGTTTCGCAATAGAGGAGCATAAATTAATACATCAAATAGGCAGAAAGGATAAACATTATAGCGATTAAAATCTGTACCACAGCTGCCTCCTTCATAGAAGAACTGTGTATGCTCAGTAATCTGCATCAGTGCTGGTGCATGATCCAGAATTTCACGTGGCTGCGATGGATCAATGACTAATAATATTTGACGCGCCAAACACTGTGAGACTATGTATGTGACAAGTTGCGGCAAGATTATTTCGGTGCCTAGAGTAAGTTCTGGTGAGAATGTAGAAGCTGGGCTGATTTGCAGAATGCGAGATGATGGCAAATATTGCTGCACTGCAGGATGTAGAGATGATTTAGACGAACCTTGTAGCTGGGA